AATTGAAATTATTTCATGCATACTATCAGGTTATTGTGAAATGAAGTTGGAAATCAGTGGCAAAAGAAACTCTTTGGAGCCTGGCCAAGAGTCTCAATTATCTGTCTTAAGAATACAGCAAGAAAAATAAAAAACAGAGACAAGTATAGAATTTCCCCAAAGGCTTGGAAATCAACATCTCTGGATCAGGCCTTCTCCACGCCCAAAACAGGCATTATTCATTAGGTGTATACAGTGATAGGTGGAGCTAATAAAGGATTAAAATTCATCAGAAGACTCAGACTCAAAGGGGCACAGATAATCATATGCCAAGAAGGATCTTGTCCTGGAGTATAATCCTGGGATGACTCAAGAAGGCATAGATGATCTTATGCTTAGAAGAGTCAATGGGAAATCTCAGATGGGTGGTACCAATAATACCAAGCCTCTCTTTTATCCTATAGGGAAATATGCAAAATTAGCCACTGAATTTTTTGGCCTCCAACAGGAATCACAAAAACTATATAAACAGTGGAAATTAAATAATACCCCCTTTAACAATGATGGGTCACATTAAATTAAAGAAGAAATTAGATGGCTTCTACAATTAAATGATAATGCCAGTACAACATACTGGAACATATGGGACAAAATGAAAGTATTTACATAGGGGAAATTTACAATTGTGAATTGTAACACAAAAAGAAAAAAAGAGTGAGCTCAAATACCTAAAGTTGAAGCTCAAGCTTCTAGAAAAAGAACAAGTTAAACCCAAAGTGCATACAAAGGAGGTAATTATAAAGAACAGAGCAGAAATTAATGCAATTGAGGTTGAGAAAGCAATAGAAAGAATCAATGAATCAAAGAGTTGGTTCTTTGAAAGATTAAATAAAGTAGACAAACCTTTAGTCAACCTTATCAAAAAAGGAAAGAAATACTCAAACACGTGCAATTAGGAATAAGGACAAAATCACAAGGAACTCTGCAGAAATCCAGAAGATTATCAATATTTACTCTGACAACCTGAATTCTACCAAGACCAAAAACTCAGATAAAATAGACAGATTCCTAGATACAAATTACCAAAGTCAAATCAAGAAGAATAAAAATTCTAAATAACCCAATATCAGTTAATGAAATTGAACAAGTAATTAAACTATCAAGAAAGAAAAGTCCAAGTCCTAAAGAATTTGTTTAAAGTCCTACAGAATTCTACAAGATCTTTAGAACAAATCTAATACGACTACTCCTCAAATTCTTTAATGAAATCCAAAGGAAAGCAATACTCCCAAACTCATTCTTAGAAGCAAGCATTATCCTGTTACCAGAACCAGAGAAGGATCCGACCAACTAGAGAACTACAGGCCAGTCTCCCTAATGAATAAAGATGCAAAAACCCTTAATAAGATATTGGTGAACAGAATGCAGCAAATCAAGAAAGTCATTTATCATGACCAACTAGGATTCATCCCAGGAATGCAGAGATGGTTCAACATATGTGAATCAGTAAATATAATATACCACATTAACAGAATCAAGGACAGCAACAACATGATCATCTCAATAGATTCAGAAAAAGCATTTGACAAAGTCCAACACTCATTTATGATGGGAGGGGGACCCTATAGAAAACTGGAAAAGAATGTCTTTATCTCAATCTGATAAAGGCCATCTATTACAAACCAACCACCAACATTGTAATCAATTGTCAAAAGCTGGAAGCTTTCACTCTAAAACCTGGAACAAAACAAGGATGTCCACTAACCATTCCTCTTCAAAATAGTTCTGCAAACATTAGCAATTGGACAGGAGAAAGAAACAAGTGGAATAGGATAGGAAAGGAAGAAATTAAATTATCATTATTTGCAGATAATGTGATACTGTTACATAGAAGACTTCCAAAGAAGCTCTGCCAAAAGACCACTAGGTTTAATAACCAAATTAGTGTAGCAGGATACAAAATCAGTACCTCAAAATCAATAGTATTCCTCTGCACAAGTAACAAACTCACTGAGTGAGAAATTAGAAAGACTACACCTTTCACAACAATGCTAAGAAAAATGAAATACAAAGTTTTGTAAAGGCCAAGATGAAGGAGGATTGAAGGAAAGGGAGAAAATAAGAATATGCACATATAATATGTACAGGTGCATATTCCCTCAGTGAATGTGATCATTATGTGTGTCAAAAGTGTGCCAGTAAAATTAATTAAAAAGAAAGGAAAAGGGCCCACAAATTTATTAGCATGCAAAAGGGGAAAAAACACACAGCATTGCGATTACCGACTGTCTTATTATATTTCAAGAGCATATGCCACTTTTCCATAGGAGAGGAAGCGAATGGGTAATGTAAGGTATTACTAGGGAATATTAATGATGAGGGGGTTTCAGTAAGCTTAGAGAAACACACAGTAGCCTGGGTCAACGTCCATTAGGCATACAGAACACAAAATGGATTATAAATGATTCTTTTTGGAGCCGTGCATGAAATGGTGCAGGTGGCAACAGAAGTCTATCCTGTGCTGTTGATCTATGGTGGTCTTTTGCTGCTATATGAGCTTCGTTAATAAAAGCTTGGGGCAGGGACTAGAGGGAACTGCGGTGCCTTCTCTGATGTCTGTATCTTTTCCAAACTTTAGATGGTCGTTCAAAGGGAGGTTTTTTTTAAAAACAGAAAAGCACTGTGTTGATGCTCAGTCTGCTTGTTCTCTTTTCGTTTCTTTGGAGCGAGGTTGGGGGAGGAGCAGCAGAACTGAAAACTAAACCTAGCGCCTGACATGTGCTAGGCAAAAGCTCTCCTGCTCAGCTAGATCTTCACTCTTTTTACATTTATTTAGAGACAGAGTTTCTCTAAACTGTTCAGGCTGACCTGGAACTTGAGATCCTCCTGCTTAAACCTCCGGAGTGGCAGGGTTTATAGGCATGTACTATGGTGCCTGGCACTGAGCCCACTTCTTGAACTTTTAATTTCTTTTACATTCTTCAACATGACAAAAATGACTTCTCTTATCATTCTCTTATCTTGAACACCACCATAAATTCTTACAGGCAATCCTTTTCTTTAGGCTCCTGGGGAGCCTGTGTGGTTTTCCTGGAAGGAAGGGTTAGTAATAGCATGGAGTTGCTTTGTACTTACAGCACATGTAGGAGCTTGGCACTTGGTCCTTTACTCCAGTCTTCACTCAGTGTTTCAAGGAAATGCTGCCGGAGCTTTAGTAAAGTGAGGGTTAAAAATTAACTATTGGATTTAGCAATTTGATCATTGTGACCTTGACTCAGTTGTTCAGTTTTAAGGTGGGGGCTAAATCTGATCGGAATGAGTTCAAGAGATTATACACCACACTTCCACGGAGCAGATGAAAGAAATCCCAGTGTACTCATGTGCTGGATGGAGTGAACCAGAAGTAAACACTGATGCTACAAGAAAGAGGGGAGACATTGTTAGACAGATGTCCTTGAACAAGCAGGGATAAAAGCTTCTAGGGAGGTGATTGAATGATTGTTAAATGCAGCTATTACTAAAAATTAAATCATATAAATGTATAATTGATAAATTATATTTTAAAAGGTAGTAAATTTCAAAACTCACCTCATTGTAATTGCATTGTTACATTTTTCCATACCAGCATGCTTTTTGTTGTTGTTGTTGTTGTTTTTTGGTACTGGGGATTGAACTCACGACCTTGTGCTTGCCAGGCAGGCACTTATGCTGCTGAGCTAAATCCCCAACCCTGATGGATTTTTTTAAAAAATGTCTATTACATGTGGATGGTGGAAATACAATATAATGTACTCCTGAGCTTCTATTCCCAACTACATAGTGACATCACATTGGCTGCTTTAAACAGGGTGGGAGTATTTGCACCATAATAATTAGCAACCCTTAGAAATTTGTTTTGAGTCGTTGTTTAAAGGCAAGGTGCTTGTTAAGCATTTGTCAGCTCACCCGTGGGTTGGTTAGACAAGTAGAGAGTTCATCCCTAGCTAAGTGCTGACAGATCCCCCCAAGGACCAGGAGAGAAGACAGGGCATTTGACCGTCGGTGAAGAAATGTTTTCCATTTACTAAGTGAAAAGTGATGCAAAGTAATCACCTGGAAATAAGGCCCAGAAAGAAAGTGTTGGAGTTCTGAGGTGAGAAAAGTGTGGGGAGAATAGGTGGATAAGAAAAATGTAGTATTTTAGTACAGCAGTGGCCTGGCACCATTACAAGGTCCCTTGAAGTTAGTGGTTATGAATTTAAAAAGTGGCCTGTCGCGAAGGGTGTATATTTTCCTGCGGTCTTTTTGGGTTGCTTGAGAGACTATTAAAAAGGAGATTTATCCAAGGCAGGGTTTTGCAGCCCTCTCTGACTATGCATGGCAAGGGCAAGTGAGCACCTCAGAGAACGTCTGTGTTCAGGCCAGCTAAAGCCTTGTCCCTTGTCCTGTAAGTTAAGTCGTCCTTTTTACTTTGCTGCCTCATCCAGCGGGTGCTTGGTTATTCGTTCTAGGTGGTGGCAGGGATCGAGTTTAAATTACTGTCGAATCCACAGCGCTTGACTGTCTTACAGTAGGTGCTCAGAAACATGTAGAATAACATTTAAAAAATGGATCAACTTGCTCATTTGGTAACAGCTTTAGTTGGAGTAAAGAATACTCGAAATTTTTTTTGTATGCTTTTGCTCCTGGGTCGCTGATGTTAAACTTTAGTGAGCAAAGGAACTTCCCTGCAGAGTTGGAAAGCCCAGTTCGTTCATTCCTAGACACCTGGGAGTCTGTGCAATTTTCATTGTACTAAACGTCCAAACCCCAAGCCCCGGGCAGCTGTCCCGCTCCTGTGAGCAACGCAGTTGCTGGCTTCGGTCAGACTAAGTGACACGGAGGAGGGTCATATTACCATCCTAGAGTTTATTACTGTTGGATTCCAGGCAGTGAGGACGGAAAAGCTCCACCCCGAGGTCGGAGGGCTGCTGGGTGGGGGGACGGGCGTGGCGTGGCGGGGCCGGGCGGGCCGGCGACCCCTCCCGGGGCGGAGCTCCGGGGCTGCAGCCGCTCCGGGGGCGCCCTAAAGCTGGCGCCACCTTCTGTTTGTCTCTTCGAGTGAACAATAAAGTTTCCAAAGTTTGAAAAGGGAGCAGGAAAGCCCCCGCCCCCGAGGGCCGGGGTGTGGATGCCCGCGGGCCCGCCGAGCTGCGGTCCGGACCCGGCGCGGGCGTGGTGGACGCGGGCATGGGCGTCACGGTGGACGTGCACCAGGTGTACAAGTACCCCTTCGAGCAGGTGGTCGCCAGCTTCCTGCGGAAGGTACCGGCCGTGCGGCTCGGGGGGTGCGGAGCCGGCGGCGGCCGGGGCGGGGCGGGCTCCCGGAGGAAGGCGGCCGGCCGTCGGGGTGCGCGGAGCTCGTGCAGTGCGCCCCTCCGCTCCCGGCGTGGAGTTCCCTCGCCCCTACCCAGCGAGCCGCGGGCGGGGGGTGGTGGGGTACGCGGGGCGCGGGCAGGTTTCTCACCCTCCGGGCGCCCTGCAGTTGTGGTCTGCACAAGGAGGAAGCGATGGCAATAAAACCAACTCCTCGGCTCTGAGGCTCCAAAGGAGATGCTGAATGTAAAGTGCCTGTCACGGCGACTGAGGGTTGGTGAAGGGCTTGCAGATGTTCTGGTTTTGTACTGTTGCGCTTGAGAGCCCTATGCATAACATCAGCATAGGTTTGCTCCTGGGCTGTGGCTGGTGCTCCAAGAACGAGGGGGATCCTTTGTACCCAGTCCTGGGAAGTGGTTCTCTGACTGTAGTTGTGGGTTTAGTTTAGTTCTGGGTGATGCTGCTCCAGAGTCTTCTCTCTAGAAGTTTCTATGACGAAATGAGGATGCTGTGCCAGGAGAGCTTTTAAATTCCCTTTCAGCTTTCACATTCCGTGCGCGCGCGTGTGTATGTGTATAGGTGGTACTGGGCATTGAACCCAGGACCTTTATTTTTATTTTGAATCAAGATCTTGGTAGGTAAATCCTGTGCTGAAATTTGCTCTTTCCTGCCTCAGCCTTGCAAAGTACTGGGATTACAGACACGAGGCATGACACCCGCAGCTTTTGTATTCTTGAGCAAAAGCTGTAACTTGTTTGGAGCTGCAGTTACTGGACGGTAAGATACTTGCAAGCCAGAAGCCAAATTATGGCAAGTGCTGGGAAGATGAAGTTTCTCTCTTTTTATTATTCTCTTCCTCCTCCTCCTTCTTTTTCTTTTCCTCCTCCTCCACTTCCTCCTCCTCCACTTCTTCTTCCTCCTCCTCCTCCTCCTCCTCCTCTTCTTCTCCTCCTCCTCCTCCTCCTCCTCCTCCTCCTCCTTCTTCTCCTTCTTCTCCTTCTTCTTCTCCTTCTTCTTTTTCTTCATAAACCTTAGCCTCTATTACAGAAGGTGACACAGATGGGGACCCAGGTCATGGAGGAGTGGATAGGATGCTATTAACATGGTGTTGCTGTGGAGGTCTTTTCTTTTCGTTTCATTTCATTTGGTTTCTTTTCTTGAGCCTGTGTCAGTTTGCTGTTACTGTTCATTGACCCTATATCTAGAATAGAGAATGAGTGAATGAATTCTGGAAGGAATTGAGTTATGAATTATAAAAACAATCACTATTTGTTTGAACACTGCAGTTTGGATTCTAGAGCCTCCAGGGCCGCTTGTGTTGGCTTTCCATTGTGAAAATAAAATACCATTGTTTTAGTTACCTCGCTTGTTACTAGGACAAACTGCCTGACACCCACAAGTTAATGAAGGAGAGATTTATCTTGGTGCACGTTTCTGTCTGTAGTTAACTGTCTGCAAGGAGAACAGCATGGCGGAGAGGAATGGCAGAAGAGAGTTGTTTACTTCATGGGCAGGCAGAGCCAAAGGAGGAACCAGGAAAGGAGATAATCTTCCAGTGGGACTAGGCCCTACTTGTTAGCAGCAGGTTAGCTACAGTGCCCCTGTAATTTACTTATCTTCCAAGGGTACCAACTATGATCACATGAGACTTTAGGGGACATCTAGACATAAGCTGCAACAATCACTTTTCAGCTTGTAAAAAGAAAGGGTTTATTTTGGCTCACAGGTTTGGATCCGTGGTAAACTGGCCTTGTTGCTTTGGGCCTGTAGTAAGGCAGCACATTATGGTTGGAGCACAAGTGGAGCCAAACTACTTACATATGACCCAGGGAGAAAAGAAGAGTGAGGAGACGGCTAGGGTCATGCAATTCCCTTCAAGAGCACACCCCCAATGACCTAAGGACGTCCACCTCCAAAAGGCCACACTCTGAGGACCATGGCTTTAACACATGAGTCTTTGGGAGTATTCAGCATCTGCACTGTGACAGCACTGCTTCTTTGGAAAGCCTTTCTGGGCTGTCATCGTGGAGAGACAGTCTCTGCCTTCTCAGAACTCAAGGCACTCACTGACCATCTGCAGGGTTAGGCAGTCTCTTCTCTACGTGTCTTGTTCTTTCCTTGCACTAAGCTGTGCTGTTTTGCACATCATGGGTACTCGGATGATAACTGAGGGGGTAAAAGCTTTCAGAATCAACTCTGCTGTGTTCTTTATCCAATCTCAGTCTCTTATTTGGTATTTCAAGGTCTGTTTATGTGAGTGGATCTGCTGTGTCTGATACAAAGATACAGCTTTCATGTGTGTTAGGGAGAGAATGTAGAATGTTTCAGTTATCCATTGGCATGTAACAGATCACTCTCAAAGGAAGTGATTTAAATCAGTGATAGGCTTTGGACTCTTAAGATGCTGTGGGTTTACTGATCTCCTGTGATTGAATTATTTATTTATTGTTTGGTGCTGCGTGGAATAGTTCCGGTCATTTATGTGACTGCCTTTAGTTAGGATTGGTATGATTCCCCTCCTCCCTCCTTCCTTCCCTCCCTTACGTCTTCTTCCTTTTCTTTTTTGCTTCCCTCTGTTCTTCCTCCACTCTTTTTTTTTTTTTAATCGGTACTGGGGATCGAACTCACGACCGCCTGCTTGCAAGGCAGGTGCTTATGCCGCTGAGCTAAATCCCCAGCCCCTTTCTGCCTTCCCTCCTACCTTCCATTTAACACTCCTTACCCCCATCAGAGTTTCTCTGTGTCTTCCAGGGTGGCCCTGCACTCACAATTCTCCTGCCTAGTGTGAATGCTGGGATGATAGGTGTGCAGGATCATGCATGATGTTTATCAGGTCCTTAGCCAATGCCTGGCTCACAGAGAGCAGGAACTGAGGGCACTGTGGAAGAACTGAGGAAATAGGAGGCAAACATTTGTCTAAATATCTAACAGTGAGGCAGAGTTAACAATATGCATGATACTGTACTTCCAATCTTTGTATTCATCCATAAAGCATCTCTTTCCAAAGAGATTGCCTGGGAGGAGCTCCATGACTCTGTGTTGTCAATACATCTGTTTGCTGTGTATCTTCTCTTTATGTTACTTGAAGCTGAGAACCAGAAGTCAGCAGTGGTAGATTTCAGTCACTGTGCACTTAGTGTTAGATGGGTTACTGTAAGAAAAGCTTTTCCCCAGCTCGTACTGTGTCCTGTGTGCAAATCTGAAAAGGCATCACTTAGCGGGTTTGCTCTGTGAGCTTACAGTGCATGGCACTAGCAGAAAGTAAATGGGACTATTTATGCAAGTTAGAAAAGGGTGCTCCTTTTCTTAAGTGGCCCTGTGCCCGCTGGCTCGTGTGCCTGGGAGCTCTCACACAGTGAGCTACTCACACAGCTGTGTAGCACGGTTCCATTTTCTCCTCTGTGAAACGGTAATGCCAGTTAGCCCATCTGTATCTTTTAATGTTGTTGTGAAGTGTAACAGTTTGATAAGCCGACACTTATTCTGCGCCTAAGGAAGGAGGAATTAACTTTTTGGGAAAATATGCTTTTACTTTTCTTTTCATTTTTTAAAATTTTTTTAAAAGAAAACACTTGGAAGAAGGGCAATCACATGAGGATCTCTGGGAAGCATTTGATCTGATTTTGCACAGTGGTATGTTTGAAGCTGCTTTGGAACTGAGGAAGCTCTATTTTAAATAGAATCCACTGATCTGTGGCTTTTGGTATGTTAGCACTTGCTTTCCAAGTTACAATGTGCTACTATTTTTAAAACTGGAAGAATGTTTGCTGTCCTTACACCTGCCTTTTGGGTACCATTGGCAAAATGTTAACTGTATACTTTCGAAAGATAAGTGACACCTTGAAAACAAACAGTACAATGTTTCTCGTTCGAGGAATATAGTGTTTCTCAATGAAGAAGAATGCTATGAAAGCTAAAATGGTTTATTCATCAGATGCTGAACTGTACTTTCCACGAACGATTAGTGTCAGTGCACTTGACAGTGTTTTGGCTCTCATCACTTATAGCTGTTTCCTTTTTATTTAAGATCGTCTACAAAGAGAACATGAAGTTGTGTAGATGAAGACAGCAGCAGGGGAGATGGATTTTTCTGGAAGCTTACACAGGTTTTTTTTTTTTTTTTTGTCTTTTTCGTTTTTATTGGTACCAGGGATTGAACTCACAACTGCCTGCTTGCAAGGTAGGCGCTTATGCCGCTGAGCTAACTCTCCAGCCCCCACACACGTGTTTTAATGGGCTTGCCTTTCATGAGCTGGATGCGAAGAGAACTTTTTACATTTCACCATATGGAATTTAAAACCCATGTATTGGCTGGGTCTTTTTGTTTATATTTAAATGAGACCAGCGAAATCCTTTTCTTGACTCGCGTTGTATGCGTATAAGCTTCATAGGCAGGGATTTTCATTGTTTTAAGTGTATCCCAAGTACCCAAAGAGATCTTGGATTGTAGTTAGTATTCAGCAATTCTTTGTGCAGTGAACAAATGAAGCTCACTTGTCTAGCATTAGCCCTGCATAGCTCAGACTAAAGCCAGGGTATAATTCACAATCATGCCTATACTTTGAATACTGTAATAAAATAGACAGATTAAAATAATTTCTTTGCTTCAATACATGACCTCAGATGTTATTTATTGTAGTTGGGAGCCTAATGTGCTGACTAAAGTGGCTTGAGTGTTTACCCTTAAGCTCATAAAAGAAATTTATGAATGGCTATTTCCATTTAGAGTAGAAAGTTGATTGGGTAATTAATAATGTTTCCATTTCTGATCCTATCTTTTCTCCCTTGCAAATCTGACACTTGCATGTGTGCAACATCTCTCCATGGAGAGCTCCAGAAGTATTTAGAGTGAACCTGCCTTACCAAAATAAGTGATTTGATAAAGCACAGGCCTAGTGTAACAATGTTGATTTATCTTTTGGATGTGCTATACCAATCTTCAATGTTAC